GGATATAGCTCGCTCACACCGAGGACCTATCCACGTCATCATTTACCCAGAATGCTTTATGTGAATGGTAAATAAAATGGCTCCGTCTGTGTTAAAATATATATTTTAAATATTTACAAAACTAAACAGCCTACAGTATTTTTACAGTCTTTATTTTACAGTTAAAATAAATGTTTATCAAATAAAGTCTAATGTTACAACTAGCCATGGATCCCTTTTTAAGATTAGTTTATTACAGGGTTTCTTTTCTGAATTCAGATCCATGCATATCAGACAAAAATTATAAAAACATCCTGCACATCACAATCAATCCTGTTGCAGTTTTTTGTTACCCAAATAAAAGACTTCTGATGTTATATTAATATTTTCTGTAACGTTCTTATTACACAGCCGCAGTTGAAGCTGAATTTGAGTATTTTGCTTTAGAGGAATGAAATATTCTTCCAGTTTACTTATTTTGTTCCTCAAGCTCTGATTTTTTTACTAAAAACAAATGAAAATTTAAGATTTTACTGCTTTGACTGGTTTAGTGAATTGCCTTCAACTGAGCTTCCTTTTGTTGTTTTTCCTGCAGAACGTTCTTCAGTTGGGCCTCAGGGGAGAACCGTCCAGCTTCAGGGAGCCTGATGCAACTCCTGACCTCTGGAGGAGAAACTCAGGCTGTGGCCGCTCTGTAAGAGGATGGAGCAGAGCTGCGGAGAAATCAAGATGGATGGAATCAGAGAGGAAGGAGTTAGAGAGACAGAAGGCGTAATGAGAAGGTGACAGACTAGGGAAGGTAACAGGAGATGACCAGATGGGTTTCTCATGGAGGGGGAGGCTTTCTTTACAAAAGCAGCCTCGCAGCGCCATCTAGCTGTAGATTTACCACAATCTGTGGAAAATCGTCAAGTGATGAAAATAAACTGTTCTTTAATGGACCATTGCAACTTAATGGAAGTATTCAATTCTATGTTAAAGATCAGCGATGTGAAAATGTGTGAAATTAGAAGCAGCACAGTTTTACATAGTTTATTAGAGGTTCATTCAGGGAGGCTGAGGTGAAAACAGGAGCTACTAATGATGCAAACGGGAGGTATTACAGCAGATTTTCACCAAGAATTTCTCATCTCAAACACTACATGTTTGTCCAGTGTTTAATGTGTAGTGTGTGTGTTTTTATTGCTCATATTACTCTGAAGGCTCTCTGCCTCTGCAGTAACCCAAAGAAAGCTGCCTCCTCCTCCAACACTTTAAGTGAAGTGGCCTTGTTTTATTGTTTGCACCTTTTTTAACGTGGCCTTTGTGTCCTTCGTACAAAAAAGGTGCTCTGATGCCGTGGGTGAGTTTTTACAAATGTTGTCTTGTAGCTGTTAAAATTCACAATAAACTGGGTYAATAACCATGTAGAAAACTTTTTTTATATTATTTTCTTTCATTGTGTAGTTTAACGCGTAAAGAAATTTGTTTCCCCTCAAAAAAAATAAGCTTTGATTTATAAATRCATCTGTAAAGACTTTTTAAAACCGAAAAACTAATATAAAATAAATCTAATTATGTGTTTGTCTATAGAAACAAAGCTTTAGTGTGGTACAGTGTAATGGTAGCGTATATGACC